GCCGTCGAACGTCTGGGACGTCTTAGAGCTAAAGGCAGCGCACACTTTCTTCAGCTCGTCTGGGGTGGCGAGGGGGCAGGCTTCCTATCTGCATGATTCACTTGCCAAGGAGCAGGAGGGGAGGCATCCCCCTTCCAGAGCCGCTCCAGCCTATCCGCCTCCGCCCTGAGGATACGAGTAGGCTGCCCAGACCACTGGCCCGAGCGCTGCAGCACCTCCCCAGGCTTCCACACATCCTTCCACTTGGTCCACTTGTGCATCCAGGGGACAGGGCTGCCTTGACTGCGAACCCATTCCTTCCAGAACTTGATGGGGCCGAGGGTGCCCCTGGAGCTTTCAGCCTTCAAAGCAATTTCAAGATCCTTCAGGACATCTCCAAGTATGCCCTCAGCAACGTACATGTTCAAAGACTGCTGATCAAGCTCCTGTGAAATACCCTCTGACAACAACTTGGCCCTGTCCAAGTGGCAAATGAGCGGGGGGACCGACCTGTACTCAGCAGGACAGCCTTCCACGTTCTCAAGATGCATTCTAATATCTGCCTCACTTCCCAAGTGACAATAGACATTCTGGGGCAATTTAACCATCCACCTCAGGGGTACTAAGTAGGGCTTCAAAGCCAACTTCCGATTCTTGTAGTGCTGAACACGGGGGGCGTGCACGATTCTAGCACCGCGGGCCCTCTGCGAAACAGTCTTAGGAGGGGTGTCCGTCATCCTGCTGATGGTGCGCTCCAACTCCATGGCTACACTTGGGTACACAACATCAAGAGCAGCCTGCCGAGCTTCAAAACAGGACATGCTGGGTGTGCCACTCCTCTTCCAATCTGGATACTTGACACTCCAACTCGACCCAGGGCAGACTCTCCAGAGACGGACCGAAGGGCTTGACAAGCCGGGTTTTCTGGCACTTACACAGAACAGGGATAGTATGGTTGACATCAGACCAGATGTGCAACGTCACAGGGCAGTGAGGGGAGACTGGGTACGACGAGAGCACAGAGATCGACGTGACAATGCTAGCAAACACATGAGAGAGCACAAAAATCAATAGTGGTCTGAGACTTCTTCTTGATACATGTGTGCTTCGACGGAACGACCGCCTCCATACCAGCTCGAATCAGGAACTCCGAAGTCTCGAGCCTCCTAGCCTTCATGTTCCAATCCCCTGCAATCATGACAGGGGGCTGAACCTTCTCCTGAAGAGTGGCGATGCCTTCCAGAGAGTTCAAGGTTAGTAGCATTCAACCCAACACTCGTCTGCATGTGCAAAGAGACGAGACAAAACTTGGGGAGCCCAGGGATGTCAATCTTCAGGGCACAAATGCGGTGTTGCATAGCAAAGCTAACAGGTACAGGATTCGCTCCAAGATCCTGCCCAGCCCTTACTAGGATAGCCACTCCTCCAGAGGCCACTCCTGATTCTAACGCTGCAGCCATAGAGAAATACCCAAGCCAGCCACGAGCAGAACACCATTCCTTGGTAGACTGCATGGCTTCCTCGCCCTTTAACACGGTTTCCTGCAGGAGAAGAATCGAAGCCTCAGGGAATTGAAAACAACCAGACTCATTGTCATAGTTCGCCTTAAAAGTAGCAAACGAATTCGTGTTCAGGGTCGTTATTTGCAGGGCCCACCCTTGGCCCGTAGTTTGTCACAACTCAACGTCCTCTGGACATGCCGCCCCCCCCTCTGGATGCTGGGGCTGCAGCCGGCTGGGCGGGGCGGCGGCAGTGGCTGGGGCCCCCCCCTTCCCCACCTTTCCTCTGCCCTGGGGTCCTGCTGAGGACGATGACGCAGTTCCTGGAGGCTTCAGCCTGGGATTCTGCCCTCCTGGGCTTTGCTGGGCGCCCTTCCCTTTCTCGGCAGCTTTCCCAGACTCTTCACGAGGGTCCACACCTGGTCATGAATATCTGGGCACTCTTGACGAAGGGCTTCCATTTGCTCCTGGAGGCTGCTGAGGTCCTCACCAATGCGCTTCTCGCCTCGAGGTTCCATATCTTCATCAGATACCTCATACGGCTCCTCCTCTTCATCAACTGCTGGCAGCTGCTTCTCCCCCAAGGAATGTTGCATGTTCTTCTGTGTGATCTTATTCTCCAGGCCTTTCAAGGGCTTCTGAATAGCTCCCTCCAACATCTCACTGGCTTGAGCGTCGAGATCCAACTGGTCCTTCATCTCAGTCAACATGCCTTCCAACGCCGAGAAAGCATCCTCCAACTGCTTTTTCCCCTCAGGAGAGAGACCGGCCAATTCTTTTGTCAGAGCTCCCTTCAGACCCTGGACCCAGTGGACCACACTTTCAGGTTCAGACTCAGGAGGCTCGCACGAGGATGAATCAGGACGCAGGCAAGCAAGCTAGGCGTTGAGACACTCCAACTGGGCTTTCGACTCACGAATCTGCGCCGTCGCCTCCTCATACTTCCTGACCATACACGCTGCCTGGGATTCCAACTCCGCAAGTGCTTCCGTGGCAGAGGTGATGAGGGATTTCTGATGCTGGATCTGAGCCGCGAGATTCTGAGCCTTCTGCGCAGGGGAACGATTCTGGAACACCTTCTCCTTCGCAGCTTTGACTGCTTCGTGGGCCGAGACCAACCTGGGATCGGTGTGCTCCACTCCCCAGCCCTTGTAAAACTTGACAAGATGCTGCGCCATCAGGAGGTTTTGGGAAGACTGGTCGGTGTTCGGGGGGGCGACGAGGGAATCGTGTCTTTATGCCATGGGGGCTGCTTCAAACCACCTCCAGATTCACCTCCTCCAGACGCTCCTCCTCCACCTTCTTGCCCCTTGCCCTTACCCTTACCCTTCCCCTTGCCGCTGGTCCGTGGCGATGGCGCGGGCCCTGGTTGCGGGGGCTGCGGGGTGCCGCAGAGCCCGCAGAACGGCTTGCGGCGGCTGGCCCAGGTCCAACCTGGGCAATTGGGGTTGGGGCAGCACACGTATGCAAGGGGTTTCTTGAAACTCCAAGACATGGCACACGCACGGTACAGCTCGATACACTTCGAAAACAGGCGGCCACGGCAGCGGGGGCTTGCCGTGGCGGAGCGGGAACAGTGGCTTGCTGTGGGCGGCTCGCCTCGAGCCAGCCCCTCGGCTGCAGGCAAGCACGAAGCCGCAGGGCCACGGTTTCGTACTTGAGCCAAAATGGCTACGGGATGGGGGGGGGAAGAGGCCGCAGTGCGGATGAAGTGAGAGGGGAAAAGGAGGGAGGAGGGAGAGAGGGAGGGAGAGGTCGCGAAGAAATGATCCTGGGGATTAGATTGGGAGTTCCAGGGCCCACGTGACAACACTCGACGTCTGAGGTCTGGGATCTTGCACCGAGTCCTGGCATCCGTCTGATGATCAGCTTGCAGTGGATGTGTCGAGAAAGGGGTGCGCGCTGTCACAGAGGAGGCCGTGTTGAGAGCCGCCGCAGAAGACGTGGCACCTCGTTCGTGAGGTGGCGTGGCGAGTCTTGCGAGAGCCAAGGAGGAACGCGAAAGCACAGGGGGGGTGGGGCATCAGCGTACAGGTGCCTGGTGCGCGCTCGTGCCAACAAGACCGTGATGATCGGGGACAGACGGAAAAAATACACCAAGATCAGCTCCATGGTAGAGGCCCAGGAGTCGCCGCCCCTGCCTAGCCCGTGCCCGTCTGACGTTTCCCTGTGCCCGGCCTTGCCAGTGCCTGGCCCAGCGGGAACGGGGGGCATCTCCGCTTGGAATCGTGTCCCTGGCCCCCCTCCCCCGTCTCCTCCCGTCTCATCCTTGCTCCTCGTCCCCTTTCTGATCTACCCGTCCTCCTCTCGTCCCGCCTCGCGCCTCCCTTATCGCGGACTCTTTTCATAGACGTTGTTTTGCGCACGTTGTTCAAGAGAGTAGTTACCTTCAGGGCGCGGAGTTGTCTCGAGGGTTGCCTCTCTGGAGGTCACCCTGGAGGTCCGCGCCTGGAGGACGAGGGCGAGGACGGGGGGGCTCACACTTCTGACACTTACGGCTGGTCCTCGTGGCCGCAGGAGGACGAGCGGATGGAGAAGGAGGAGACTGGAGCCCACGCGCCGGCCAGGGCCGCCGACGATCTTATTCGGCGCGATTCGATCCAATCTGGCTCGATCCACTGGCGTCGGCATGGGCCAGCCAGAGCCAGGCGCGGCGATCCGATTTAGGCCTCCGGAGAACAGGACACTGGCAAGTCGGGGAAACGACACGCTTTCCTGCACAGTCAAATTTGGCCGTCCAGTGCAGATTTTGTTTGCTGCACTGCAGGGATCGCGTCTTAGTCTATGGGGGCTTTTGCAAGTTTTTAGGGCCTATGTCCGCGATTATTATGTCAGTGTTGCAGTACAGTGTTTCTTTCGTGCCGTCGTCTGGAACAGTTTGGTTTCGAGGGATGTTGGATGTCCCGGTCTAGCATGTCCGGGTCCACGGGGCCCTATCCGATTTCGATTCGATTCGGGGCAGTTTGTTGGTGATCCGTTCCGATCCGTTTCCGATCCAATCCGATTTTGCGATTCGATCAGGCTTAGGTTTGCCGGCTCGCATCAGAGCCCAGCAGAGGCGGTAAGTTCGTGGAGCAGGTGGAGTCTCCTGCGGGCTCGTCGCGCTCGTGCCCTCTTTTGCCACCCCGCACGCTCCCACAGCATGGGCTGCCATCGTGTGGACGACGCGACAGGCCGACGCTACCATAGGGCCCTGCTGGTATGATCGGCATGGGAAGGCACGAATGGTTCAGAGTCAACGTCAGAGGGGGGATGCATCGACCCGCAATCGCCGCCCCATGATCGCCGATGGGGGCATGATAGCCCACCACAGCCAGGATGGCGACACGACGCGTAGGCAAGGTATGACGGTATGATTTGGGACGATCGGCATGGATACGGAAAGAATTGGGACGAAGGCCGACAGCAGTTCTTGGTCATTTTTAACCGCACTCGTTGTGGGCTTCGCCGCCGACGTTGTCCATTTGCCGCTTGCCCAACGGTGGCCAGTGTCGGTTTTGGACAACATCTTAATGTTCGGCACCGTACGCATGTTTTCCGCACCCATTGCCGGCGTGCCAAAAGATTATGCCGCCCTGTATCGCAGGTCCGCCCCAGCATAGTATCATCGTGCTGATCCCCACGTCGTGCTATGTTGCGTGGCTTGCTTGTTCTATCATACCTCCCTGCCTTGCAGTGCCACGCGGAGTATGTTTCGCTGGACCGCGTGCCGGATCTGAAGCTCTTTCTCGTTGCCGCTGCGATTTGTGTGTCGTTCGTCTCCGCAGCCAATCCATTCAATCTGCCCGAATTGCTCCCTCGCGACACCGAGGACGTCGCCCCCTTCCAGCTGGCAGTTGGAAATATCATTCGTCTCCATTTTGACGGGCTGCAGCGGCGCCCAGTGAAGAAGAAGAAGCCATGCCCTGAGGCCAACGCCAGAAAGCCGAGGAAATCGAAGGCTCAGAAGAGGGCCGAGAAGAAGGCAAAGCTAGAGGCAGTGAAGGCTTCCTTGTGCTTGACTTGTTCCATGGTTTGTGCTCAGGTAATTGGCGCGGACGCAAGGTATGTGATGATAGTTGTGCGTTCGGTTTGTTAAGTTGCGACTGTTTTTGCCTCGCCACCTGCGAACACTGCCGCGGATACTGATGCTATGTTATCTGCCTCGCCCTCGCCGTCCTTTTTTTTGTTCTCTCTCTCTCTCTGTCTCTCTCTCCTTCTGCACCTCTTTTCTTCTGCTGGGCCTACCACAACGCGTTTTCACTCGCTGCCGCCCTTTCTGAATTCTTCTGGCCCTTTCTCTCATACATTTCCGCGGAGCCCCAGCTGCTGCTCCCCCCCCGCCCCTGGGAGCGCAGGATCACCGCAGCTGTCCAGGCTCCCGCCCGCTCAGCCCACTCTACGCAGTCTTTTCCGAAGTTGGCCGCTGCCGTGAGGGCACGAAACCGCTGGAAACCGGCGCAGGCACATATTGGTTTTTGTCATGTGAAAAGTTAGGGTGGCGAGGTAGGGCATGATGTGGCCCGCGGAGGGTATGGGGAGCACAAGCAGTTATACAAAATTCAATACAGAGAATTCGAAGGGACCTGAGGATATTCCAACTCGTGATACCACCGGAGGGCACGGTGACGGATATTAGTGATAGCACCGGACGCATTCGTAGTCTCACCAGTGATACTATGAGTAGTAGGTTGCCTACGATGTAGCATTCGCAGTCGTGGTACCTTCAGGTGGAGCCCCCCATGGGGCCCCGAAGGGTGTGAGGGTGTGCCGAAATGGTTGTCCAGGACACAGGCGGACTGCGCCATTGGAACTTCAGGTGGAGCTCCTTGTAGAGCCACGAAGCGCTGATGATGATGATGATGATCATGAGGATGATGAGTATGGTGATGATGATGGTTATGGTGGTGATGATGATTATGATGAGGATGATGGTGATGATGGTGGTAATGATGACGATGACGATGACGATGACGATGGCGATAGCGATGATGACTTGACTTGCGCTGGCTATAGTTGGTGCCTGGAGCTCTTCAGTGACTGCTGCTGTGTCGAGAAAAATTCCAGCAGCACGAGGCGTGTTGCCTCTGCTGAGAGGGGAGAAAAACTCACACCAGGAGAAAGGGATCCCCTGTCATCACGGATGCTGACGCGAAAAAGCGTCTCGATATGAATCGTGTTCTACTTGTGTCGTCGGACTTTCTCTGGGCGCTGGTGTCCGAAGGGGTCCCGCGGGCCAGTTCCACGCATGCGTGCGCCAGGGCCGCGCGAGGGCGGGGCTAGTGCGCGCGCCCGGGTGTCGCCGCGAAGATTAGCGGCCTTCAGCGCGATGCGGTCTCGCAAATCCGCGGCGGATATCTCCTCCGCGCTACACTCGGGCAGCTCTCCTGCGAGCATCGCGGCGCGACACGCTTTGGAAGAGAATTGTAAGTGGTGCAGCGCCCTATGGCGGGTGTGGTAATCTGCACCACAGGCTGGGCACACTGATCCACTGCAGAAACTACGAGCAGTCATTATCCTGCCGTGCTTGCGTCTCAAATGCGCGGCCGAGCCTTGCGGACCCTTGCACTGCTGGCCGCAGGCGGGGCAAGTGAGGAGAGGCTTGGCCGAGGCAGCCGGAGGGGGAGGGGTGTGTTTCCCCCTCAGCCTGCTCGTGGCCGCGAACTGCTCCAGGTCGTAGAGCAGCATCTGCGCCGACGGGGGCTTCGGGAGAGCCTCGACCATCATCTGGACTACCTTTGGCGCTGCCGTGAAGTGGGATGCGAGCTGGGAGAGCCTCCGGGCCCGGATCATCGACGCGAGGAGCGGGGCGTGCATCTTCTGCCTGACCTCCTCGTCGGTGGCCGTGTCAGGGGCCCCGTAGCGCATGTCGCCCGAGATCTTCCTGAGGACACGATGGCACTGGCCATTCATAATGGCCACGGCTTGAGGGTCGTCTCCACGCCAGGCTGATATGCCGTAGTGACTCTTCGAGAAAATCAAGCTTGTAGCTAAAGTCGATCGCGTGGAACACCGAAGGAAGTTACAACCAAAAATGTGCACCGCTAGGGGGGCGTAGGTTTGCTGGGCCTTGGACGTCTTTTGCTTGGCATCCAAGATGTGCCGACCAGACGCTTGCAGCGTTGTGCCGAGGTGCGGGAAATCATGTACAACTTCGAGCTCTAGTCCTGCAGGTGATCGATTGACCGACCGCCTCATGGAGAGGCGACGTGTCCTCCAGTCGTACGGGAGCCCTGGCCGTAGATCTGCGCCATGATCGCAGATTTTCCAGGTCACACGTTGATCACGAAGCCGACCCTGCGGATTTCTTCGGTGATGATGTTCACTGCCGGGTCCACTTGGGCGAGCAACTCTTGCGGAAAGTCGGCCAAGAGCTCAAATGTGACGTCGTCTACATATTGCTCGTGGTTGGGAACCTGTTGCAAAGTGACGTGATCGGCGCTGCTGTCGAAATCAGTTGCCCAGGGCACGGCGGCGTGCATGGACCTCTTCATGCTGAGCTGGATGCCGCTCCCCTGGAATCTGTGCCGCACTCGCTTGAGGGTCAGCTCGTAGGCTGTGCTGAAGCACGCCGCGCCGAGCCGACAGCCCTGACGAGGGCCACGGTTTGCGGCGACCACAGGGCCCGGTTTACCTCGCACCTGGAACCACGTACCGGAGTGGAGGTCAGCAGCCCTTGCGGTGGCGTGCTCGTCCATGCCCGCCGTTCGGAGGAGCGAGGGGTTGTTCTGCAGGTGGTGCTGGGTCTCGTCGGCCACGTCACGCGGGACGCCTAGATCATGCAGCTGATCCGCAAGTACGTGTAGCTGTCGGTGACCAGCTCCGTAGAGGCACTCCCGGATGATGTTGTCAAAGGCTTTGGCCAGGTCGAGGAATATGATGGCCCAGCCCTGGCGCATGTGGATTGCTCTTTCTACGAAGGTTTGCAATCCGACGGTCAGGAGAAGCGTGCCTCGTCCTGGGACTGCGCCACACTGCGCATCCCCTACTGCATCCGGCAGTACTTGGTAGACAGGGTCCGACATCTGCATGGTGTAGAGCTTGGACAGGTGGTCGGAAACCAAGATGCCGCGACCCTGCAGGGGCAAGAGGATATCGCCCTCGCGCTTCCAGATGTCGAAGATCTTGCCCCCCGTGATTCTGACTGGGAGCTGGCATCGAGAGGCAGAGAGGTCGAAAAGCGGCAGGAACGTGTCGAGCGACGCCTCGTCGCCAGCACGCCATACCGAGATGCCGGTGCCATCGGGGCCCAAGCCTTTCTTGGGGTTCCGCCTCCACATGTCCGCTTTGACGCGGGCGCGCTCCATGGATATCCCTTCGGGAGGCACTGGGACCTTAGGGGGGTTGGCGAGCAACTGGTCCATGGAAATGACTTGCCTTGCAGACAGTACGGCCCAATGCTGGCGCCATCGGTCCAATATGTCCTGGGGGTCAAGAAGGAGTCGGCCATCTTCACGACGCACGGCACGGAGCGCACGCTGCCCCCGAGGTGCGCGAATCTCACGCGTGGTCTCGTAGAGGGTCTTGTTATCGTGCCGGTCGTCTGCCCCCCTACGCCCTTGCGGCGAGGTGATCAGCCCACTGCTGGCGATCGGCTCTTAACGCTGATCTTACCTGGTTGCGGTGGCGCACCAGCTGCTGGGCGTGGACGGCCTCGGAATGCAGGGTGTGCTGGATGGGCTTGCGCTGGAGGCATCGCGAAGTTTGAGACCGTCCAGACGCCGTTTTGGGGGTCCGCGAGGCAGTCGCTTGCCCCCCAGCCTGCTCGCCCAGACCACGCGGTGGTCGCCCCTAGTGGAGAAGGCCGCGGGGCCCTGCTCAACTCCCGCGGCGACGGACTTCCGGAGCCACCGATCCGTGACCCATATATGGTCAGAGCGTTTCGGGGAGAGGGAGTTGCCGAACCACGTCGGCTCGGTGCTATCATGCCACTCTGCGACGTCTGTCCAGGCGAAGGCCTCCATGAGTTCTGCGGGGAACAGCACTTGGCATTGCAGCCCTTGGCGCCGTCGTGGTCGTTAGCGTCGATGAATGCCAGGAGCCTGCTCGGGCGGTTCATCTTGTCCAGTTCGGTTTCGAGCTCCGCCCAAAAAGCTTCTCCTCACAAGGGGGCCACCGCCTCTGGGGCATGGGCGCTGACGGCCGAGAAGGCCAACCCCAGCTTGGAAGGTTCCAGGCGCAGGGTCCCGGCGCTCCTGGGATGGCATCCCATGCCGGCGAGGAAATTTTGAAGGGACCTGCGAAGCCGGATCTGCGCGCCGCCCTGGCCGTCCGCGGTCGCCGAGGACGCGAAGGCGAAGTGATGCCAGAGGTCGATGCACCGGTTGCCCTCGATGCGGCCTTCCTGGGCGATGATGATGATGATGATGGTGGTGGTGATGGTAATGATGGCCATGGTGATGACGATGACGATGATTACTATGATGATGACGATGGCGATGACGGCGATAACGATGTGGATGCTGATGATGATGGCGAGGAGACAGGGGGGGAGAGGAAAGAAGGAACGCGGGGCGCTGTTTCTTGAGGCCTTCGCTGGACCCCCCCCCAGGGGGCCGCGAAACATGCGGGGGGTGCGCCAACGGGGCGGGCACGCGGAAAGCAGGGGCAGCGATGGGAGGGGGGGGGGAAGCGAGACAGGACGGAGAAAGGTCAGCATTGCGAGGCCGCGATGGGGGCAGATTTTCATCGAGCCTTCGACCGATGGGCTAGATTGCCGAGGCAGACCCGGGCGACGAGCGATCGGGCGCGATCCCTCCTCAAGTTGACGCTGATTGAGCTCAGAGCCGCACGTCCGTTGGGCTGGGGCCTAACCTCAGGAGGTGATTGACACCCCCCTTCGGCAAAAAAACAATAAGACTTCCCGCGCTGGGAAGCGTTATCCCGGCGCCCGCCGTCAGGGGAGGGGTGTGTGTGTGGGGGGGGGGGGGGGGGGGGGAAGGGTGATGATGGCGATGATGACGCTGATGATGACGATGGCGATGTGGTGCTGATGATGATGATGGC